TACTGTTCCATAGTACTGTGTAAGAAATTATGGGGATGGAATCTCACCCCTTTATCAGTCAGAGGACCTCAGTGTCATCAACTGGCTGCCTGACTTGAGACTTAACATATAAGAATATATAAAATCCAGAGACTGTCACTTTCACAAATAAAGAGGGGGTATAATATACTTCAGTAATGGGTGATGATCAAACTCTCAGGAGACAGCAAGGGAAACAACAGCCAAAAGAGCAGCTCTTTCCCACACACACACACACACACACACACACACCCGCTCATTCACTTCTATGGGAAAAATGCTAATGCTAACTTTAACCACCACCCTGCCCTAACCATAACCATAAGTAACCAAACAAAATACAAGAGTTTTTGCATTTTTAGTTTTTTTTACAGTAGTCACCGAGTTTTATAAAATAGTGTTTTCCCTTATGGGGACCAGGAAACCGGTCCCCATAAGGGAAAAAAAAAACGGATATTTATCATGTTATGGGGACATTGTGTCCCCATAAGGATAGGTATACCCACTCGCACGCACACACACACACACACACACACACACACACGTGTACCTGGTGTGGTAAACACATTACTTGGAGCTGCTCTTTCGAAGGCTTTAGACAAACAGAAAGACAAACAGGGTATCTGGCAGTTAAATGATTGGATTACAGTCTTTCACCCGACAAGGTCAGGCTCCGTTACTGCCACCCCACAGCTGCAAAATGACACCAATCAGCCAATGACCGTCCTCTGGCGCAAGGCAGGTCAATAAAGGCCAAACTCCGCCTCCCTGACACACTCCTACGAGGGGCATCTACCAATCATAATCCTGGGCTGCTGCCAATCAAAAACAGGGCAGTCGTGGTCAAGCCAGAGGCTCCGTTCCCCTGGCTGTTGCCTAACTGTGTGATGTATAAGAAAGCCCAATCACAGTTGCATAACTCTCTGATTAAAATACTATAACTTATGCATATTACTTCCATGCATGCTGTGTTGACCTTTCCATGGTAGCCATGGCAATCAAGATGAATACTGTGTTTCATCATTAGCTGTTCATGATCTGAGGAAAATTCTTGACTAATGAAAAATCTCTGGTTGCCTGTTATAGGAAATAATTCATATATAATTCATAAATGAGTCTTTTGAATTGGGACAATTTGCCAGAAAACACGTGACAACTTTAGCTGCGTATTTTCGGTAAGACACCAGTCACTCCTCCACCCCCCGGAGAGAAAGAGTAGGACTTAAGTGGATCATTGTGTAAGCATTAAGGCTGACATTCCATACTAGGGCCGACACTTAAGGGTCACACATCCGGGATTTCACAAAACTCAAAGAAATTAACCCATGTCAGCTTTCCAGTGCTTAAAGTGTTAAAGAATAGCAGAGGAATTAATAACAATTAGGCAAAAGTAGTGATGTGATATCATGGGTATTGAACCTTGATCCTCAGTCCATATGATGAATGGCTTCAAGAGAAAGAAAAAGTCCATTTAGATATAAGTACAAGGCCCTTTGCAGTGCTGAGTAACAGCGCAGTGGAGCTCTGGCCAAAGCAGTCAGAGAACACAGCTCTATCTGACAGCTTCTGCTCAGGTCTCCCAGGGCTGTGGTTTGTGGGTAAGGCGGAGGGGCACGGCGCGTGGCAGAGGACTGGGTGAACTCTATGCACCCGTCCCTGTGGCTCACCACAGCGCCACTTGCCCACAGCAGCGAACGCAGTGAGAGTGAGAGAGGCACACTTCAGCCAGTGGCACGTGCCACCGGCGTCCCTGGGAAAGCGCAGCGCTTCCCCTGCTCATTGGCTCACCCGATGCTGGTGCTGAAGCCGGGCAGAGGAAGGCTGACGCACAGACCGTGGCAAGTCACACGTCTGCACCACTGCCATGAATATCATAAAAAACAATGCGGTTCATAAGAATGAAAACTCAGGGCTCGCCGTGGCTGTGAAAGGAGGAGGGGCAAAATACGCAACTGGGACAGGACGGGTGGGAATTTGGAATGTGTGTGTGTGTGGGGGGGTTAAGGTCAGGGCATTTTAGATTTGGTTTGCTGTACACTAAACTGCAGCACTTACCATAGGGGGGGGGGCATTGGCTCCATGCCAAGGTAAGGGCAGAAAGTATCCTGATCACCTCTTCACAATAGGGCTGCATATTTGGCAACGATATCAAATCCCCCCTTCCTTTCATTCTATTTTTGAGAAAATAAATAGGTATTCTGTGCGTTTCCATGGAGACTGCTTAAGAGAAAAACAATGTGTCAAGGAGGACCGGGGCTAAATATGAATTGTCAATGACGATTATCTTTTCCTCCACTAATTCTTGCTTGCAGGAAAGGAAGGAGTGGGATTTATCTGTAAGTGTCGGATCAGGACAGTCCTGGGACTAACAGGATGTGGGATCCTTCATGCCAGTGCTCACCAGTTCTCTACATCTGACAGTAGAACATCCATCACTGAGGACAAATAAAGATGCAACCCCCCCCCCCCCCCCAGAGATGGGGCAAAGACTTTCAGGCTTTCAAAATCTCCAAATCATGATCTGGATTGGGCTGCCTATGCACCCTTGTTGGTGCTGAAGATGCCTTATTTACCAGTCACATGACCCGCTGTCTTCTGTTTCAGCAAGACCACAGTGTGGTGGCAATCCTGGGTGTCTGGATGCGGACAGCAGGCCGCGCTGAGTCCGTAATGCGACAGGTGGAGGGCAGCAGGAGGAACTGGGAGCCTCCTTGAGGCGCCACAACAAGCTGAGATGTGGGGTCACCCCGCCTCTGGCTCCCTAACCCATTGTTCCACTGACAATCCCATTGTTGCCTCGAGGCCCCCTGGAAGTTGGAGGATATGAAACAATAGGCACCGTGCATTTGGGTCAGCATGTTGGGTCTCAAACACTCCCTTGGGCCTTTCACACCCCCCCTGGTGCCCAGGGCCGACCTGCTCCCCTTTGCTCTCTCTAATCACAGGTGGAAATGAGAACTAGTGCCGATGGCTCAGACATGCCGTTAAATCCAGACAAGCCAGCACAGGCAATGAGACCAACAACATAACCAAGGCCAGTTGCATTACCAGTTATATTAAAATGTGTTACCAAAATTTCCCAAGAAAACTGCAAAGGATGGTTCTTTGTGGCACATATAATAGAAGCTCCTATTTGTAGGCTTGGCAGCTGCACCCAGGACAAGCCTGCAAATGAAGCTTCCTGAGACCTCAAACCTGGGCCTCAATGACCTTGAGCTCTCCTAGCAAGTAAATGATGCTGCCTGTAATGATGGACTTATTATAAGCCCAGAAATCAGCTATGACAACCACTTCCAAGACAACAACAGCGTAGCGGTGTTGATGACTCTCCCTTGAGACTTCATCAGGGCAAAAGCGGGTTGGTGTTTCCTCCTATTGTGTATAACCTGCAACATATCCATATATCAAAGCGATCTACAGCACACGGCAGAAATCTTTGGGGTATGGGGGAGTGCATGGGACAGCAAAGGGGCACTTAGATAGCAGGTCACAACTATTTTTATCCTGAGGTCCTGTATCAACGCACCCACATTGCAGTGTCTCTAACAATCTGCATGAAAAATCTCTTTGAACTGCATTTAAAAAACACTAAGACCCTGCTTTCCAAACCCTAGTCAGGCAATGGCCCTGTGACAGCTTCCTGATGGATGTCCATTATGATTAGCAGTGCCACCATCGTCAGAGTGACTGTATGCATTTCCTCTTTATGAAAGCCGGCAGGTCTTTTTAACGGTAGGAGCACTTCCCATGAAAAGCACTAGTTCATCCTGAACTTGGCCACTTCAGTGAACCTGTGTAGAAAATCTGAACTATTCTGCAGGATAATGGACCATGTCAGCACGTCACAAAGAAATGTGAACTATGTGAGGTTGACAAGCAAGATTAGTCCCTGGATGTCACATATAACTCATGTGACTGCCTTGAAACAGCAGGGCTCTCGCATATCAGATATTTGAACATGGCGGAAACCACTGAATTTTGACATTTGACCCGAAGAACAACATATCAGCTGATCTCCGCGATCTCACCTAAGATTACACCTGGATGGTTTGGTTCTTTGTCAGCAGGTGGAATAATATGCGTATATTCGCATTACCGCTGTAATCACACACACAAAGAAATGCAAACAAACATTTTAATATAAATAATCATGAAAAACCCACGCAAATCCGTGCTCCCGTGTGTAGCCACAGTTCTGCCTCATTAGCCATGATGCATTCAGGGCAACGTGTCAAATGATAAAAACTGTTCTGCCTTGTGACACCTTGAAAGGTCGGCTGTCCTGCGCCACTCTACCAAAAATAAGCCCCAGTCCTACAGCTCTGCTGGGCAGGCTTCTCTTGGACCTTTTTCCTACAGAGAGAATGCGACTGTGACCTTGAATGGTGAAGCATGTCAGCTCTGAGTGACCGTCAGCTGGATTGCTGGCCTTTGCTTTCCACTGTTGCTTGGTCCAGACCAGACCTCTATCTCTGAGGCTTTGTAGGCATTCGAGCACCAAAGCTTTCTCTGACTCGTCCTGCTCCATTCTAAGGAGATGCAATTCTACTAGAGGCACACAAAGCTTTAAAAGATGAGAAAGTCAGAATAGGTCAGTGATTAATCCCAGTTTAGCTCATCTTTTCACATAAATCTAGAGTGTATATATAGAGTTATGGGTATCAATTACCCACTGATCATGGTCCAAAAAAAGCTAAACTCTGTCCCAGTACTGCAGGAAAGGTGCCCCTTCATCCCATAAAGGGATTCAAAGTCCATCTGTAAGCTGTGAACAAAGATCAAGATTCTACTCTGGAAAAGGGGAATTCTGCCAAAGAGGAATTCAGTAACTTCCATATGCTGTTATGTGTGTTTATTGCGATGATAAATGACTCCAAATAGTGCTTTTTGATGTAGTAATACAATTTTCTTTACGGCATCTTGTGCCAATTTTTGATACAATATCCTGTAAAGGTTTTCACCCCTGTTATTTACTCTTTCAGAGCACCCAGGAGTTTTGGGACAAGGAGGACAATGACCTGATGAAGGTTACAGAGACATGAATCATGGCATAGCAGGAAGTGGGAAGGATTTTATATATTGAGATGATATGGAAATATGGAAGAAGCCCAAATGATGTGCAAAGTGTGTGGGTTCTGCTACTCATGGAGTTCCTACACAAGTCAGCATAGAAGTGCCTACTGATGTAAGAAGTACCATGACAGGTCAGTTCTCTGTTTTAGCGGCATGAAGTACCATTTCATTTGTATATATCAAGAAAACAATCTTACAAGTACCTTAAAAAAAACTACCCAAAGAAAAATGCACTTTTTCAAATGGAAGAATTAATATGTGATATCACCGGCAAAATTTTGGAATCCCCGTGGTGCACTGCTAGCTGAGTCCCTAAGCAGGGTGGGCGTGGCTGTGCGACCCCCCAGGCCTGGGTCGCAATGGGGCCATGGATGGTATTGAGCACCTGCGCGGCTTGTGAGAGCAAGCCGACCTCCTGCATTCCAAAAATCCAGTCTGGACAGCTCTGGAGCTACAGGGCTCTGGCCTGGGAGAAGAATTTGAGGCATTGTGCCCTTGCAGGGTCTCTGAGTCGCAACAGACCCAACAGACGCCCGTAGGAGCTGAAGAAGGAGTTTCAAAAACATACACATGCAAACACAAACAGAGTCACCAAAAACTCACCTCATAGCTCAACGCCCACTTGACAAACACTAACAAACTCTCACACGGCAGAGAAAAAAAATCATGTAAGTTTCTCCATGAGCAAGTGTTTCCAGGAGACTCAACCAAACAGTCATCAGGAGGATGACTGATGTAATGGCAGATTTAGTCAGTTTTGATCGTTTTAACTATTCACTTTATTAATTGTGCCAGGCAATTTATCTTGAAGCTCACAGACTTTCCGAATCGTTCAGTGAGCTGTCGCTCCTGCATAATTTACTGGACATCAAACACATGTCCAGGCTAAAATACATGTACAGAATGTACAGAGACTCATAAAAGTCGCCTGGAGAGAATCTGTGACTTAACTAAAAACAGGAACTGTGGATAAGTAGCCCACTCTTAGGCACGTCGGCCGAGATGGGGTAGAGTAGTGGTTTCTAAAATACCAATGAAAAAATTGCATCTGCTAAGATGTTTATGCATCTCAAAATTAAGGGAAACTGCTTATTGATTAAAGGGTGAATTTATCCAGGGTCCTCTTCATTAGCCAAATTATAAAGTCATTTTTAATAATCTTCCAAGAATTATCGGAGAAGTAAGGTGAAACAGAATTCATTTGTATTGGCAACAGAAATCAGCATTGATGGCAGGCTGGTCTTCTGGAAACCTAACAGGTGCCAGCAGTACTGGGGATGAGCAGAGAGCTCAGTGGAGAAGCAACAAAGGGCACGGAATGGGGTCAAAGTTGGAGAACCAGCAGCCACGCTCCACTACGCCGGCCGTCCACGCGAGAGGGAAGACGGCGCCGCAGGAGGAGCTTCTGCACAGACGGCGTTGCTCAAATGGAACCCTTTTAAACCTCAAATTTTGGCCAAACTCAAATCTAATCTGGGTTTCATTCAATAGACATTTGCAACCTATCAACCTCTTAAAAGCTCTGACGAAAGGGAGACAGGCCATATGCCTTATGGTGTTAAAACACCTTTCTGATAAGAGAAGATATCTTACCTCAATAAACACTTACATAACCAACCCCTACATTATTCACATATTAAAAGAGGCAGTTCCACAGTTTTATTTCATAAATGAATGGATGAAAACTTACAGTATGACTTAGAAATACATGCTAAATTTCTGTTTTCCAGTCTGGATGTACAATGTAGCATCTGACATCCTACAGCAGCACATCTGCTAAGAAACACTGGAGAAACTCTGGAACCTTCCATGACTGCAGCACTGGCAGATTAAAGTCCACCAAGCTAAGTACCAACCTGCATGAAATAACTCATCTGCTCCTTCGTGAGCTCAGTTCCGCTCTATAGGAAGAGTCCAGCTAGATACCTTGAACTGCAAATCTTGCCAGTGATAAAAAGAGAGAGATGACTGACTTAGAGCTGTCTGGGAAGAGCTTTCCTTGTGGGTTTCACCTGGACTCTGTTGTGCAGTTACCTGCCACTCTCTGAATTTCTCTTCAAGTCCTCCGCCAAAGTTGAGGAGAAACCATTACTCACTGAATCTGTTTTCTCAGGACGAGGCATGAAGGACACGGAAATAACCCTCAAAGAGATTGTCAGAAATGATATGATCGCTTTTGAGTTCCCCCTAAACAAACACGGGGCAAATTGGGGCCGAGTTGCGGCAGAGAAAATGTGCCGTAGAAATGTTGAAAGGTCGTCACTACTTGGTAACGACAACGGTTTGCTCTCTGCCGCCTGCCAGCATGTTCACATGTAATCACACATGTCGCGATGGAACAAATAGGGCCTTAACTGATCTGGCAATTGGTCCTAAATGATCCTTTTTGTTGAATGCGGATTTATTACCCTGATGTTATCGCACCGAAGGGGGAGTCTGAGAGTTACGAGAGCCGCACTCCCAAATATCTGCCTGTCTGTGACTTCATGAGAAAGACCACGAAAGTACAGCACATATGTGTCATGGACAGATTCATCGATAGCCAATTCCGTTTTCACACGTGAAAATTGTTTTTCAAGAGGGAGATGCAAATCAGAATGGCGCTACAGCCTCAATACTGTGGGGCCTCCTTTACCTGGACTCAACAACTTCTTGCCAGAATGTTCTTCCAACCAATGTTTCCTGATTAATTAAACGTTCCCATCACCTTGAGGGAGCCTCCCCGCCGGCCCCCGGGACCTGGGTGCGGTCTCATGATGAGCGCTACACAGGAAACACAATAAGCAGCCATCCTGAACTAAATTAAATTAGGGGGTGTCGGCTGGGGGGGAGGTGGGGGTGACCGCACAAAGCAAACAGAAAGGCACCTGCACACGCAGAAGAACAAACATTTTATCATTACAGCCACCATTTCTCAAAAAATGCACGCTGAGTCAACCGTAAGTTATGGGTCACATGACTAGACTGTGGTCTTTTCACCCCTGAGGCCCCCCCTTTTGCAAATGGCTCCCTCTCCGGCCACTTCCAGGAGACCGTACGGCTCCGGTTTCAACCTGACAGGGTGCGCACTGCTGCCGGCCGGCCCTGTCGCCGTCACTCTCACTCCCACCCGTCTGCCACCCGGCCTGCGGTCAACGCGCCGTGCCCCATTCTGACATTTTAGCAGGCGGGCTGCAGAAGATTGATGACGAGCCACTGAAGTTTCCACTGACATCAGTACAGACATCAGGAGAGACCTTAACTCTGCACTCAGTCCTTCGAATGAATGATCTGGGGAAGCAGAATGTCAAAGGCAATGAATGTACTCAGCACGCAGGAGCGTGTGTGCAGCTTCTTTTGGACAAGCCGAGGATTATGGGAAATGGCCTCACACAAATAACATCCCACGATGCTACAGTATCATGTAAGAACACATTCCAACTGGCCAGGGTAGAAAATTGCATTACATTGTACGTAAATACAAAGTACTTTATGAAAAATATTAAATAAAGGAGTCTTACATTTATGTACAATAAATTCTATGTATTTTTACAGTGGACTGATAAATATATAATAGGATTTAGGATTAGTGTAGGTTTAGATTACAGGGCATAAAACCTTCTGGTGTTTTCTCTTAGACACTTAAAGTGTAACACACTGAAGACATATTTAGTCTTGACAACCAACTGTTAGCCAGCAAGGAGTTTCATAATCGACCAGGGCATGCTCCATTTCCTCCCCTGTGCAGCTCCAGCCCGTCTTCCTGTCGTTTCAGTGTCTCGCTGCACACAAACAGCGAACAATAACCCGCTAATGTCTGGTGCAGTGGAACAGCGTGTTCCAGCACAGCCAAACAAACAGCGTGAACGGGCCATTCTCAGACTGCCGCGCTGTGGGGGGGTATTGGGGGGGTGGTGAGTGAGGCTTCTGATACGCTGTTCCCCAACATCCGCTAAACACGGGCGCTGGCGCTGTGGAAACCACTGCATTCAGTAACCGTGTAGCCACCCGTGATCGCAGCATGACCGGAGTGCCGCTAGCTTCAGACGGCAGCCATGCCGATCAGACAAGGACATCCTGATGACGGGTGAAGCGCGGACAGGAGGGAGGGGGATGTTGCCTCACACGTGCACACCAGCCCAAGGATTTAATCTGATGCAGCGGGTACTGCTGGACGTCAGGGAGGGACGGTGTCAGTTTCCACGTAAAGCCTCTGTTACCATGCCAGCATCCGATGTGCTTGCACAGATGTTACCGACTGCTGCAGAAATAGCCCAGGTGCACCATGTGACCCAGCAAGTGCCACGGACTCTGCGGTACGGCGGGAAGGCATCCGAAGTGCCCGCGCACAATGAGTCACACTTTCTGGGCCCTCCTCCCCTGCTGCCTGGCATCGAAACGTCCTGCCCTCTCCTCATCTGTCATGCTCACACTTCAACTCTCACCTCTTTCTTCCCTGTCGCCGTCGCTCCGTTTGATCCGTACCAGCCAGAGCTCTGGGCCACATCCGCGAGTGACTGAGGAGTGGCTCCGAAACACCACAGCCCCACGGACGAAGGCTGCCAAAATCACATAATCACAATGACCAGCAGACCTGCGCCTCGGAATGATTACGAGAGAAACCAGAAGCAGCGGAGCGCACGCCACGCCTGACTCCCGCAGGTGGCAGCCCGCCATCAGCCAGTGCCACCCGGGCACGGATTATAAAACAGGAGCTTGGCTCAAGGACCAAGTCAAGGCAGGGACAGAAAGATCGAGCCTCCAGACTGGAGCGATAACCCATGTGCACACCAGAGCAAAGCGTTTCCACTGACCGTGAATAAAGATACGCTGTTTTCACGTTTTCGTGCTTCACACAGGCTGACCTTTCACAGAGTCCTGAGTACAAATGCAAATATCTGCCCACTGTGTTCAGTCTGATCATAACGAAGGAAGGAAAGATCAGTGCCAAAACCGTGAGGAAATCACTCCATAAAAGAGACAATTGTGCACAAAAATATGAGAAGGACGATTACTTATTTAGAACAGGGAAAAATCAGTGTTCTGGGGCAAAAGAATATGATTTTATCAGTTAGCAGCTTGACTTTTAAAACCTTTGTATAAACTGGAAAGAATTTAAATCTTTTGAAGAATGTGGATTTATTTTAGCACTGACCATCTGAATCCACAGTCTGGTTTAGGTATGTTTGATGTTGTGGGAAACATGGACAACACCTCAGTTTTAGGGTAAGTGAGGTAGGGTCAGGCATTCCCCCAAGGATGGGATTGGATTGGTAGCCCCCCCAGGGTTAAGTGGGAGTGGGGGGGGGGGGCTTTAACACCAGAGATCCTGGGCCGACACAAAGTTTGCCATGGTGATAGCAGGAGGCAGGAAGTGCAGGGAGACATTCTTGGGGGGGGACAAGGACAGAGGTGGAAACTGCCGGGGATAAGGAGAGAGTTCCGGCCTGGTCTCTGAGGAATCAGGCCCCTACTCAGGCCAAGCTAAATACCCCACATATGAGGAGCAAGAGAGAGAGAGAAGAGAAAGCTGGGGGGGGGGGGAGAGAAAATGTTCCCAGACCCAGAAACATGCCCTCTGTCTGCTGTGCCGGGGACCACAGAAGCCCACATTCATGCCTCTCCTGAGAACTTGTCACAATAAACTGGATTCTTCAATACAGAGATGTCAAACAGCTGGCCAGAAGAAACGGCCACTCGTGTTCCCCCTCTGCCCTCCCAATAAACTCCCACAATGCACTCTGTCAGGCGCGGTACCCACACGAGAAATGGCTCCTGAGCTGCTGCTCGCTCAGTGGCTGAAGCCAACGGCAAGCGATAGACGGGTGGCGGGAAAGTTCTCGAGAGAGAGAGAGAGAGAGAGAGAGAGGACGAAAAACCAGAAAGGCAGGATCCAGCATGTCGGTTTATCAGGCATATAATGGCTGAACTTTGCTTTCCCTGACTGAGAGGCTCCAGCCCAGTGACTCCTGTTCGCTCCACACATTCTTACAGCTGCTGCCTCTCATGCCTTTTCCTGGTGGCTTTTACCGTGTCCTCTTTGGATCTGGGCTCACCTATAGGTCTCTGGCTCTCCTAACTGCTCACCTGCTGCTAAGACCGCCGCTGCTGTGCTGTGCCTAAACGTCTGCTCATTTTGTGACATCTACTGCTGGAGAGGGGCGGGTCTGCAGCCACTGTTATATCAGGGACAGGTTCAGGTGTCACCTGGCAACCAGGATAATCAAGCAGCCAAATGGCCTCATCAGCCGACTCAGCGTCTGTCAGTCTTACACTGTCATAACATGTGGGATGGGATGCATTTTATGGATGTAATTTCCATACACTTGAGTCGGGCCGACCAGCATGACCAGCCGTTCGGCACGACTGGCACGCCGAAGTGGGCGCGGAGCCAGCTCTCTGCTCCGCAAACACTGGCAGAATTGCTGAGTTAACAAGGCTGGGGACATTGGGCTTTCTTTTCCTCACAAATGACTCGGTCTCTAAGAGCAATGAACAGACCGAAGAAGGGAGCATTAGGCAGCGAGAGGTGACGTAACGAGAGAGAGTCGAGGCAGGACTTTGAACAAATGTCTATATCACCGTGAAACCAGCAATGCAGAGGCAACGGCACAGATCAGCTGCTGCACATAACATTTATACATTTAATCGTACCCTTGCCCCCCACTCAGTGAAGCTTCTGTTCCAATATCGCTTGTCTTCTGCCTTGTGAACAAAAACAGTTTAAAAATAAAAAAAGGAAAAAAAAAACTGACCTATGACCTCTTTTATAAGAAGCCGTTTCTAATTTAGCCGTGGAATGGAATCACGGTCCACTGAGGCGAGGATGACAAATTTTGGTTTGATGCTTTTACTGGCTAAAAATGTAAACAATGACATCAGTCAGCTGAGTGCAGGAGTCGGGATTAGACAGGTAAGGACCTGCCGGAGTGCGGGACGCCAGCAGGGAATGTCGCTCGCCTGTCGCAGCCCCCACAGGCTGCTCTGAAGGATGCATGGCCCCCTGCCCTCTTTTAGGGTGGGACAGCGCCAGTGACTCACTCTCAGCTCAAAGCGCACATTTAATCCCGGAGAAAACACCTTGGACTGAGATTGTCAAAAGATTACGTGGCCCGAAATGTCGGCTCTCCACCAAAAGGATGGTGTCTCAGCTTTTTACACAAACTGGCACAGAAGTGAACACAGCACCTAGCAAATGGGGCAAAGGAAGCCAGCAAAGGGGTACAGAGACGCAGTTCACGAGGGACCTGGTGATACCTTCAGCCTCCCCCCCCCCCAACGCCTACCACAAGTAACCTCCTTTTTCCAAACTTTTGCCCATTTTTAGTATCAAGGTGTGAGGAAAAATAATTTGGAATAAAAACACAGAAATAAGAAAATGCATACACAAATCATGTTAAGCTTAATACAGTCGGAATATCAGAGAGTAACAAAAATGACAGGCATATGATACTCAGAACACTTTAAGGCTAGTTTGAATTAAATGATCCAATGAAATAAGAGTATTAGTTCAAAACCCAGACAAGTCAACACAAGTTGTTACAGCTATGTAACAGGGGTACAGAGGCACCACCACCCCACCCTGCATCAAGACAGTCACGGCCCCTAGTAACACCCCCTAGTGGTAACTCACAATACAGTATCGTTCCAGAACGATGCACTTGGCACCATCCACCAAAACGGTTCTGGGTATTCTCTAAGATGGCAGACCTTTTTTGCATGTGTGTACCATATTAACCAGAGGGCACAAGCCTAAACCAGAGCCTAAACATTAACAGATCCGCTCAGCCAATACACACCTGGTCTGCCGATGTTTTAAGTACCTTGTTTGCTTGCTTGTTTGTTTATTTATTTATCTATGTATTTTGCATCTGTTAAAGTAGTTACAAGTTCACTAATAAGGACTAATCAGTGGGCTGGGTAGATCTAGCTTTGGTTTTTCATAATAGTGCATCTAATATCTCTAAAGTACATTTTGTTATCAACAAATTTAGCAAACGAATCTGTACAGGTACCTGAGACACAGGAAATGACACGAGGTCTGACTAGAACTGGAAATCTCAAATGAGACTAATGCAAATAAGCTGCATCTGCATCTGCATGGTTCACCACCTGTGGGCCATCACCCCAACACCAACCTGCCAACTTGATTCACCAGAAAACAAGATTATTGTTTAATTTTTGTTGAGCTTATACTTGAAGTGTTTTGCCTTAGGTCGGTGGCCCTTTGTGCTGCGACTGTACCCAGAGGGCCTTCGCCAGTTAGGTGTGCAGGTAGGGGACTGCGTTTCCACCCTCAATCTGAAACATAACCACGACTATACACTCCTGTATCTGCTGTCTTTCTAATTTTCTTATTTTCTCACTATAATGACAAAAAAAAAAACTGAATTTTTGTTGCACTGCTTCTCAAATCGCTTAAACCCTTTTATCACCTATTTATGCAAATATATTTTGCTTCCACTCAGAGTTCCAAGTAATTTAAATGAATCCCATCGCAGGTGGAAAAATATGTTTTATCACTACAAACGTCAATGCAAACTCCGTGAGCAGTTTAGCCGCTCATGAAAATGATTTTGGGATTTTTTTATTTTTTTTTTACGGTGGACTCTCCGTATTATATGCACATTACATTCAGGCATATACTGTGGTATCACTTAGCGTCAGGCAAACACATAGTAAATATCCTCTGTTGGCGTCATCATAATTAGTTAATTATTATTAGTAAATCTGTTTTGAGTTATAAGAAAAGTAAATTATTAAGACATTATTTAATAAGTAAATTATTTGGTGTAGCCATGTTAATATTACTTCACACTACTAATAATAAATGGCAAGATAAAGAAGAACAGGGCTTTAACAGCATGTTATTTTACATATATAAAGAATATTCAAACGAAATTCAACATAATAAAAAGACAGAGGCAGGATGAGATATGTTTAATTAAGCGCCTGCGGAAATGTGCCTATTATTTGGTTCTATAATTAAGGGGAACGGTGTATTCTTTACAGTTTCCAAGGATGAGCATTAGGATTATAGCAATCGTTTTCTTATCAAAAACTGTATTTAATCAATCAGGCGAAGATAATATAAGTAAATTAAATTACATTAAGTAGATGAATCCTCAAAGCACAGTAAATCCATTGGATTTCTAATTAAACCTTCATTTACAAAAAATCACTAGTATGGGACACAGTTACAGTATGATGCGTTGCTTTGCAGAATTGGTCGTTCTCTGGGAGTTATACTTAGAAAAGCGCAACAGGTCTTTATTTTTCGTTGACGATAACATGGAAGCACAAGAACAGATCGACATCAAGCGCGGATATATAACCGTTGAAACGCATTTCACTTACTCGCGCTAGAAAATCCATTTCATTATAAAAGCTGTATTTGCATTTACGCTAATGCAAACATGCGAAATCAATTTAATAACATGAACCCTACCTCTTTTTTTCCTTTTCGGCGGTCATGGTTTTTTCATATGTGTCCAATGTCCTTTTAGCTATTCCTCGGATGTCCTCCACGAAGTCCAAGTGCTTTCGGAAAGTTACACAGATAAGAAAAGACGCGTTATACGCAATAAGCGAGAAACAAATGAAATAAAACTTATTCACGATATATATTTTCTTTATTTATTTGATTCCCCTCAAAGTCCATTTCATAACCCAAGGAGAGTCCTTTAATTCGTAGGCTAGGCTATACAGTCTCAGAACACTGCTGAGGATTGTACAGCCTCTGTCCTGTTTTGTGTTGGGAAATCTGAAGTATATCGGGTAGGCTTTAACTTCGTTGATTTCTAATCCCCTGTCAAAGTTTCTTTCACTGCGCAGCTAATCTGGGAAAGTTCCAGCCCATGTCCCTGACCACTCTTCCCTGAGCGCAGCCGGCTCGGTGACAGCGACTCAATCAATCTCGGCTCCGCGATTGGCGAGATCCCCGTGAGGACCCGCCCACTCCCGCACCCGAGGTCTGCTCTCCCCCAGCCCGTCGTTTCCTCCTACGTTCCCAGGCGGCGTACTCAGGTCCTGCTGGGGCGGGTCTCCAGGCAGGTGAACTTATTCGCTGTCAGCGCTTAACGATCTGGGTCGCGGAGACGCTCGATTTCACTTTTACTTCGCTGGCACCGAAAAGATTGCGAGGAAGTAGGAATTATAACTTTTGCCGGTAATTGTTGTCAACTCTACAGGAACGATAAATAGGAGCAGCCGATTGCTTTCCTGTCGTAGGACAATTGAGTGCATTTCCATAGGGTGTTTTAAAAAGGTCAAAATGCTAAATGGTGCGAATAGTGGCTATTTTTTGACATGTGAAGCCTTCTACTTTTCAGTTACGTTTTCATTTTAATTAAGAAACACATGCAGACGGTTGAACAATGTCCTTTAACGTTTTAAACAGCCCGAGTGACCGTTTTTAAATATCCCTCCAGTGTCCTACGCAATAAATGTGCAACCCTTCAAATTCCAACTTCAACATGTCTCCTATAAACTGCGCTGGCTTAAGATATTTAAAGCGAGTTGATTATTCTTTATTAACTCCATACATTTTCGCCTTAAAGGATACCGTGATAGCATCGAAATTTTAAAATCGTTTTTAATTCAAGCTTAATGTTTTCATGTGTTATTTTCTCCTTTCCTTCTCCCCAGTTTAGAGTAGTGAAATAACTAAAAATTTAATGAGTAGTGCACGACTAAAACCTAAACTATACAGATGTAATTAACGTATAATTATAGAACAAAACACAGTGACTGTGTGTGCGCGTGTACAGTATGTGTGTTTGTGTTCCAAAACATCGTGTCCTCCCCTCCCTCTGTCTGTTCTGCTCTTCCCTCTAATGGCTAATTGAACTCAACAGAACTGAGGTACAGCTCCTCTCAGCTTTCATCTGCAGACAGCAGCAATAACAGAACATGCAATCACATATTCCTGGAAGTCCTCGCTTTCATGTGGACTGATGTAACGTGAAGAGGATGACACTCCTCTTGTGTTTTTTTTTTTTTTATGAAGGGACATTAATACATTATGGTCTTAGGCCAGCTGTTACTTAGAAGCGCCCATCCATATGTTTCTTGTATGGCTAAACTCTGAAATTATTCAGAATTAAGGAAAAACTCCCGATTCAATTTCTGTGAAATAAACAAATGCACAAATTCGCTTCCATAGTAAATGTTTGATCAGTTTTGTCCACCACAGGCTCACTGTGAGAAGACAACTCAGCTTCATCTATGGGTAAGTTCCTATGTGAACGCAGTCTGACCAGCTAAAACACCATGTGCTAACTGTGCTAATTTTAACGACTGGAGCTGTATAATCATGATTCCAGTCCTCACCCTGGTGGGTCATTTACTCTGTGACGGGATGATAATGTCTCCCTCTACTTTCTCTGGAGAGATTCCGCCTGTCCTGCTCAGAAAGGCTTCCAAGACATGTAGGTCACAAGAAATAAGTAGGTCAGTGCAGTCTCTTCTCTTCCAGGTCCATTGTGTCAGCTCGAACAACCAATCGCTTCATGGCATCTTCCCCTGTCACGTGACTTGGTGAGGTCTTCCTTAGGGAACACATGGGCTCCACATGTCCCACGGTGGTCTGAGTTATAAGGAGTCATTAATTCAAGGATTTGGACTTCGCTGTTTGCTTTTTGTACATCAGTACATGGAAAAATTCACTTGCTCCATCCAGTCAATAACATGTAAAAGAACTAGACGACGTAAATAAATGCACTTGTGAAACATCATACATGTAATAGCTAAGAACTGCAGAAGCATGAATATATACAAAAAATATTAAATAATAAGTATGAAACGATTGATGGAAGCTAGAGTATGATCGCTCTTTATTCTTCATGTGCATTGCAGAGGGGTAAGAACTGTTCTTAGACTGGTGACACTTTTGCTATACCTATGACCAGACCTCAGTTTAGAGAACAGTGTGTTTTCAAGGTGAATCTGTATTATTGTGTGTTTGTAGCTTTTGATTTGTGTTCAGAGATGTCATGGAGGAAATTTAAAGTGTCATAATGATCAGTAAAGTTTAGCCTAAGGCTGAATCACTGAGGGTATCGTAACAGCGTTAAATGGCA